TTGTTGCGGACGAGGAGTACACCGATGTCGTTGCGGACGAGGAATATACTGATGTTGTTGCAGACGAGGAGTATACCGATGTCGTTGTGGACGACGGAGTATACTGATGTCATTGCGGACGAGGAATATACTGATGTCGTGGCGGACAAGGACAATGGCCAAAAAGATGACAAGACGACCCAAGACGAGCAAGACTATCAGAACGTCAAAAGTAAGACATGAAATATATGGGTTCCTAGAGCTGTGCGTCAGAATATGGCGCAGGCACCGTCACTGGATAACGCTTCTCGCTTGTCCACGAGTGAGGCTTTTCCTTACCCAAATCGTTTCGGGCAGATGGGAAGGATACGCAAATAATTACCTTGGAAACCTTTTTTGGTTGCGTGTGAACGATATCATAAGGTTTGTGGTGATAAGGTGCGACTAAATACATGTATACAGTACCCTGCCAGCACCGGTAATGGGGGGGGGGTGAGGCAGAACAAGCCAACGGGCATATCCCAAGAACCATACATGGGGGACTTTATGGTGATGCTTGTAGATTATGTCGATGGAAGGGCAGCTGTTTGGCGGAAGGCGGTCCCTATAAGAACAGCTTCGTTTGGAATATTTGAAACACTCTCTTTACGCCTACCTCGGCTCTGCAAGTAAATTCTCGCCAGCCTTCAAAGTTCAGCCCTGATAGACCATTTTCACCCACGTGACTTAATGTAAACAACACCACCACGTGTGGACCGTCTTGGCCACGGTGATCGCGTATATTCCTACGGGCAGCTTCAACCACGTGCGAGCGCACGTGCGAATTGGAAGATCAATTATTTGATAATATGCCTTACTCAGAATTTCCTTTATTCACAGTTTGGACGTAAACAAATGAACGGAACAATTTTATGAAATCTGAAAACTTGTTTCATGAAAGACGACAATTTCATCGGGTTAAATGAGGCAGAAATCATGGTTAGACAGAACAAAATATACGGCAGTAAAATACAGTTCTGTCTCAGGATGTCTCCTTACACAACAAATTAAGTTTGGGAATGGACATTTGTAATGCTAAATATACCTCTGGCATGTATTCTAAAATTAAGAACTACACTTGCCAGGTGAAACTGAACCAAACCGACACACCTTCTGTAGACTTCTCCAACCACAAGCTAAACACTCACTCAAGATGAACATTAGGAGAGTCGAACTGCCGAAACGCATGGAAGAATCAAAATGTTTAAGAAATGGATCGACAGGTGAATGCCCGTTTGTGATTTCATAACGCGCAGATGAACTTCGTGGTTTGAATGCCGCTTTAAAGGATCCAGGGAATGAATTTTTCTTAGAATCACTTTTTGTGTATCTCTGTACTCTTCTTCCATGTATGAAGACTGGTGGACATCTTTTTGAGTTACGTGAACTGAACGGTGCACTTTTTCAAAAATTAAACATTTTGACCAAGCATTCCATGACTAGGGAGGGCGCTTTTGCATTGATGCAAATCCAGGAAGACATGGTTCAGTTTGTATGTTTTCATGTTCAAATTGCGAATCCCATATTTGCTATCTGGGAACTTTTCTGTGGAAGGGATTTTTGCTGGATTATTGCCAAATACTTACACAGCAATAAATTGCCAAAGAAAATGAAATCTGCCATAACAGTGGTTAAAAAAATCGAGACATTTTCTGTGCACAAATCGATGCAACATTGAGATTCAGTGCCTTGGATGACATCATAATTCTGCTCATGAATATGCAAATGACATTAGCATAAAAACCAATACAGCATAAAAATATGGGTTAAAATCGCAAAACAAAACTTTTAAATAAGCATGAAACCAATAGATACAGTTTCAAGGGTTTTAGTCAATTTATAAAAATATTTCTATTTCCTGGTTCCTTTAAAATGAATAGTTGTTTATAAAGAGCTGTACTGAATATGACACGGATAAAGTAATTCTACATTTTTTTAACTATACTTTTTTAAACCTTACGATTAACAATTATAATTAGACAATTGCTTTATATAAATTGCTCTCATATTGTTGGTATATTGGAAAACATCTTGTCTCCATTACTTATTTCACATCAAAAATTCCCATATTTTTTCGCATTTTGTATTAATCTGCTATTTTGTGCTTAGTTTGTCGTATCACATTTTATCAATCCTTTCAACTCTTTATGTTTTCGCCATGGATTTCAAATCATGAACTAACTACATTCACGAAGAGTTAAAATGCCTGACTTTTCTGTTCTTTTCTATGTAATGTAGTTGCATTTGGGGGGGGGTTGGAGTACAAAACACTGTCAGAGCCCTTGTTGATCCCAGCACCTGCATGCGTTTGATAATAACCAACGGGGCTGGGGGTGGGAATTGCCGCTGTATGAGGTTCAAAAGGATATTCCACACAGAAAAATAAAATGGAGTATACAAAGCTAAAGGGAAACCAGATGTAACGATCAGCGGTCACTACACCCTCAGAAGAAGGTTAACGGAGTCCGGGCCGGCATTTGCAACCCTGTCCTTGACTGCCCTGGTCACAAGGATTTCGGCAACATCCGACGGCATCATGTTCTTGTTCTTACCCAGCTCAATCGCTGCCACACCTATCGACAGAAGAAAAAAAAAATAGATACTCACTGACAAGTCGCCGAAGACGCAGTCCGCAGGTGTTCATAATGAAGGACTGAACAAGTAAAAAGAAATCAAATTTGTCGAACGTTCAGAGGGAATTGTTGAATCGCATCCCAAAACGATCGCGTCGAACGGACATGAGTTATAATTGGATTGTTCGACGGTAGTCGACTGCTGTAAAGTCAACGAAATGCGCTCTTTCCCACTGCTTGGGCGTTGCCCTTGATTTTTTTCGGGGGAAGGGGAAGCACATATCCGCAGTAAGCTGATAAACCATTTACGGTGGAATGGGTCAGTTCCGAATTATTTTTTGGCTAATTCCTTGGAGTCACAGAACGTGATTTCGGCCGATATAGCATTTACAATGTATTCAAGGCAACAACGGGCTTAACTGTGTCCATGTGTGCCATGACGCGAGCGCACCAATTGCATGTGCATTGATGGAGGAAGCGAGCGATCTCAGCGAATGCTCTGCAGCGTCTGTACTTCTTTCGAAAAAAAAGCCCCGTGAAATGGCTGAGACCACCCCAGCTCTCTCCATACGGGGAGGGGGAAATGGGCGAGTGAACTCACGAAACAGACGTGTCAGGGTGGCGTGCGCAAATGTTTTTTTTTTTAAGTTGACGACAGCCTGGTACCCAAATGCGTTCTATGGACTGTTTTTTATTTGTCTCGAAAACAAATTCAGAGAAAAGGTATTTGTCGATGGGCTTCAAGCCTGTAATAATTCATTTATTTCAAAATTTATGTTGCATGTCCGGTGAAACGTTGCTTATATTAAGGGTTTTCTAAACAGTTCTTTCATATCCCCATTTTGATATTACTTCTTTTAACCTTGGGTAGAGAGGGTGGCCTCGCCTGGCGAGTCCATTGGAGCTAATTAACATATTATTATTTTTTGTTAAGTCCAAATTCCACGACTACTTATCATATCCTACCCCTGAACATGCTGAAAAGCCTGGTTTAGTCATTTTACAGCCAGGGCCTCCCCTAGCGAGAATAAATGCAAAAAACCCAGACAGCCTTGAGCCAGCCTCCAGGCAATTCCCATTGGACTGTGTACAAATTGGTCCCTTGTGCAGAACCTAATGGGCTGTTTACAAAACGGTGCCTGGGGCAGGCAGTGGAATGTTCTTTATCAGTGACAGCTGTCTGGAACTTGTCAGAGGCCTCTGTCGGCTGTCTTTCAAGTGTTATTTTTGTTGGGGGTGTGTGTGGTATGGCTTGGCTGGTGCGTGGCGAGGGCCCCCCTTCAAATCCGGATAGCCTGGGAAAACAACCCCCCCGCGGTACTGTGATGTACTTTTGGTGGTTTGTAAGATCTGTAGAGGCTATGGGACAACCTCTGAAGCATTAATATACCTTCAGGACGGACTCAATGCGGACTCGGGGCGGACTCAGA